TAATGCAAATTTCGAATAATTTTGGTGTGGCCATGCACATAGCTATTAATAAGAACTTCTTACACAAGTAAGAAACATTACAACAATGAAGCAATAATAGTTCATACCATCCCAACCAGTAGGAGTAGGCTCCTTCTCCCATTTTTTATACTTTGACTCTGCCATGTCTTGCGTGTCCAGCATATATGCTTTGCTCATATTCAAACCATTGGCATCAAGAAGTCTACCAATTATCTTTTGCCTTCCTGTAAGATTTTTGAGGTCTTTTCCTGTGTCATCTTCACCGTCAATACCAGCTGCTACCTCAGAATCACCTCCCTTGCCATCTCTTTCATGATTTTCCTCCTGATCCACAATAGCAACTGCATTGGCCTCACCACTGTCACTAACAACTTGCATTCCTGGCACAGGGTTGGGAAAAATATTAGGTACTTCACAATAAATAAAACGCATCCCAAATCTGTGTATGAATTATCATCTTGGAACAGAAATCCAAGAATTAAGTAACTAACAACTATTTATTGGTCCACATCATCTAATTTTGCTCCGGTTGCAACGTGTCCAGCCATAAGGTTTGAAGTTTTTAGGTGAATTTCACACCACTTTCTCTCCCTCTCCTGCTTGCCACAAGGGAAAATATGAAGAAGATGGAAGAAAATGTTGGCTATTAAAAATTCCACAGCCGATTAATGTGCCAGTGTTTCAGGTAATTGTAGAAATTGGTGGCGTCAACATAAATGATATCATTATAATTGATATAATTAGTTACAAGATCCAAATTTTCAACTACCACAATCAATACAGGACTATGTCAAACAAAAGAAGCAAGGATAATATAAATAAGAAACCAACCCGTGTCATTTTTGTTCATCTTCTTCTTTGTTTCAGCAATAATCTTGAAGTAGTATTCACTACATTCGTGATACGGGTTCGATGCATTTCGGCAATCAGGATGCACTCTCCCTTCTTCAGCCATATTTTATCTTCTGTATCATTCCTGTAAGCAATCCATAAAGAAAAATACAAAACATAAACCTTAAGCAAGACCATAACAATAAAGTAAGAGTAGAAAGGCCAACATACTAATTGACAAATTTTTATGCTCTCTTGAAACCAACAAAGAGATTCAACATCAATAGTATGAAACTTTAGGTTACTAAAAAAAGCACTAAATTTTCGAGCTACTCAACCACATTACAAATGCATTCGAGAATATTCTCTCCTTCTCTATAAATTAAGCACATGGAGAGATGAAATTCTCCTCTCCCCTCCTCATTTTCTCTTTATCTTCAAATCCGTTCTTCTTATTCAATCTGTAATTTCTCAGCAGTGAATATAGTGGAGTGATTTCAGAATTCATTTTCTTTCAATTCTCTTTGTTTGTCATTTTACCCTCCCATTTCTTATTGATTTTCTCATTTACCCCCTTCCC